GGGGAGGGGCGGGGCTAGGCCGCGAGCGAGCAGGGGGGAGAGAGGGCAGGGGGAGAAAGGAAGCGGGAAGGGGAGGGGGATCCCAGACTTGCCCGCTGGCTGCTGTGAACACTCTCTGGGGCATCTTCGGAGGCAGGCATCTTCCTCTGGCAACCTTGCAGAGTCTGTCGCCACTGTGCCAGCTCCCGTCTCTCGCTCAACAGATTGGGAAACTGAGGCCGGGAAGGTGTTGATAACATTGCTGGATATTCCTGGGCCCCATTGGGCTGGTAGAGCCTTTTTCCCCAGTGAGTTAGAGACGCAGGTACACTTACAGGCACCCACATCTCTCCCTCCCCTTCTGCTCTTTCCACCTCCAGCAGAGAAGCACAGCTGTACCCTTGCCTGGTCCCATCTGCTCTCACACCTCCTCTTTCCTTCCAGCCTGTCCTCCACACCCTCTGAGGCAGTCACTGCTGCTCACCCATTCTTCCTTCCAGGACTGTAGACTCCCACATTCCCAACCCAAGCTTTAGTAAGACTAGAATCCCTGCCCAGGCACCTTGCACCAGGCATCAAAGAATCCAAGTTCAATCCTGGTTCTCTGCCTTCAAGTCCCAGAGTCAAGGGCAACTCCCTGAGCACTGTTGTCTCCAGCTCTAAAATGGTAAGCTGTTCTTAGAGCTGTTCTGAGATTATACACGATGCCACTCCTAAATGGGTCCCTTCTCTGTCCCTTTTGAGCTCCAGGGCTGATGTCCCTGTACTTAGGGGAGAGGGGCAGCCTGACCTGGACCACAAGACTCCCTGTGAATGCCTGTCTCAGTCCTTAGTTCCTATCACCTAAGAGTTGGGCAGTGGCTCCTCCAAAGCCATGCCAGACACGGACAGTCCCACATTTAGTTCTGTGGCTGACTTGGACACCTGCTTTCTCCTTTGCTCTGGGCCTGGTAAGGCAAGGATTTTGGAGCTGGCAAGGATCCAGTCACCCAAAGCTGGGACTAGAAGGGGCTGGATACCACCATCTGGACTCACATTGGCAATAGGTAGGTATTATGTGAGGGTCCTTGGTGAGGTGGAGAAGGGAATGGAGATTCTTAAGTGTCAGGAGAACTGCTGGTGGCCCCAGTTTGGCCCCTTGGGCATGCCATCTTCTCTGTGCCCCTCAGTCTTCCCCTCTGCAAAATTAGGGGCAGGCTACCCTGCCTGCCTCCCATGGCTGTTGCAATAAAATGGGGCCCCATCATCAGTCCCTAGTTTATTCTATCTCAAGGACCCCTCCCCTTCCCCAGCACCTACACATGTCTTCAGCCTCAGATGACCTGCCTGGGACCTCCTGTTATATGGAGCAGAAGAGCCTTCCTTTGGGCTGGAAAAGTTCCGCCTGAGTGGGCTGGCAGGCTGGGAGGAAGGGCATTGCTGCTTTTTCTTTTTGTTCTGTCCTTTCTGGGTTCGGCTTCCCCCTGGGGGTGGCAGAAGCAATCTGGGGTAGTGATGTTCATGGAAGGGTGAGATGGTTAAGGTTTGGGTAGGAGGAAAAGAACTTCCCAGCTTGTACTGAGATGTGAGTCAGCCTTTCCCAGCCCAGCCCTTTTCTCTGTCTCCCCCCAAACCTCACCTTCCCTGGACCTGGTGCTCCATTCTTTTTTCCCCTCTGCCTGCTACTTCTCCATTGGGGGCAGCTGGAGTAGGCTAGAGAAAAGATCTGAAGGGTGT